GGTAACATTCCCATATGATTCTTCTTTCACATGGAACTGTCCTCTTGTTTTTACCCATTGTTTAGAAAACTTTCAAAAAACGTTTTTAAATTAAATGGAACCAATAAATGTTTCACTTTTTTAATAATTTTTTTTTACACAGACCGTGATTGCAAAGCTATTGTAACACTCGCTTAATTGTAATTATGAGCACACGCGACTAGATCAACTGCGACTTTATTTTAATTTTATCGCCAACCACGATACTTACATATTTCTCTGAATATGACCTTAGCAACTTCCCAATCTATAACGGAACTTTTTTGCATACCGTTATACAAATKAAAAGCTAATTCGGTGAATTTATTTTCAGAAACGTAGTTTTGCTATGCAGTGGCTTAATTWTGTGAGCACAAGTTTATATGTTTCTGCATAGCAAAGCGCGCCATCTCGCCTGAGTTCTTTCATAATACGCTACATTGTCATACTCACTTGGACTTGAAACGCTATTGTCGCAGGTAATAAATATAAAATATAAAACGCTGATAACACGCTAGTACACTGATTCATTGACATTTTTTCTTTGTTGCTTTTTACATACATATACATATGTCTAAATATATTTATTTGGATTATTTCAGCTTTTCTGTGACCACTTTACTGTTACAGAGCAAATCGCAGACTGGACATCATATWCCCAGCACAGAATATATTTTACTAAAATCTCTTTCGAAATATTACTTCACATGCGTSACAAACATCTGCAATTTAAATTCTCCAAATACTAGATAGTATTAAAAGCGCCAAATTGAGGCACGTAGTACTTACATAGAAAACTGTATGCATATTTTCCCAGTAGTGAATGAAGGCGAAGTATAACTGTCTCTTTTGAACGATTACTGTACTTTTAATGTTTGTAACAAGTATCACCTGAATGGACTTACAATTTATTGATAAAAAAATTCTCTACTAAGTAAATATTTACATTGAAGTAATGCAACATCTGTCCACTGACTACTTTGTGTATTCAAGAATTTTATATTTTTAATAAAGACAGGAAGTAATAATATTTTGGGACATATTTTCATAATTGWAAGAAAGATCGTGCTGCAAAAGCTTAAATTTGAATGATTATGAAAATTGGTGTATTGTCAACTTTTTAGTCTTTTAAACGAATTRTATAACACATATCCACTTCTTCTGTGCCTTCGTACTTTTGTCTGTTTGTTTGGTTCATAATGAAAGTTTGCGGTGTGAAATGAAGAATTGTTCATATAAACATATGTAGAAAATATYTGATAGAAATATTTTTATAAATTATCTTGCTTAAAACAGCTAACCACTTTATTTTATTATTACAAGAAGAATGTTGACTTATTGAAAAGCAGACCTTTCACATTTCCTTTAAGCAGTAGTGTGTTATAATTTTTCCATAATTMAGAACTATAAATAAATTTTAAGAGATTTAGACTATTAAATTACTGTTTAGACGTAATGACAAGCATTTTACTACATATCGCCACCTGAAATGCAAAATAACGTATCATCAAATTCGAAATTGAGTGTCTTATTGATTACGATTCACAACTTCAAATTACATACATAATATTACATATGTACAACATTTTAAGGTTCTGCGCTCAGATATAAAGCAATTTTAACCAATATAAAATTTTTTTCACTCATTCCATTTTATTTCGTGTTTCAATCATGTCACTGTAAATTTCCGAAAATGTTGTTACGTTATTTTGCATTTCAGGTGACTGTATGCACTTGTATTCAAACGAAATATGCACAAAACTACGAATACATGTGCTTGCATATAAACGCATACATAAATATATGAGCAAAAAAACTAACATACGTTTGTAATAGYAATATATAGTTCTGAATGTAATTTTTATTAAATGTTCAGRGAGAGAACATCCTCTGTTTAAGGACCACTGTTAAAATGTCTCCTTCCGAGCAGAAGTGGTGCAACTCGTTCATCTTGTCGTGTTATAGGGYCCATACACGACACACATGTGCGTTGGATCTGTGTGAATTCGTTTCGCCCATACACGAAACACAAATCCATTTTGCGATCGTTCTTCACACAGTTAACATGTGCGACAGGCAAGCGCAACATTTCTTCGATTTTATTTCTAATGTAGCACTTTTATCTATTTCTTTGTATTTCGTTAATAAGTTATTCCAACTTTTATTTTTCTCAATTTTATTTTTATATTTATYACTTTTCGTTTGCCAAACTGCTATTTAATTTTTTATAAGATTAATAARTTCTGACGCACATGCGAGATGCATCGGGCAATTGCTTCCCAAAGGCAGAATWTCAAAGATTTCATATCCTAAAAATTCGAGAAAGATGTTCAAATATATAGCTATAAAGCCTAGAAATTTCACTTGAATCAATTATTCTTTCCCTCCCAAAAAATCCTCAAAAAAWATCTACTTTTTGAAGCCTCTAAAGCAGGCTCCCCCCTTAACACYTTCAATGTTTGTCCACGATCTTCACTGTTCGCCRACACGAGAGAAATGAGATTTTGTGGACACGACACACCGATCGTAAAAATTCAAACATTTTCGCGAACATRTTAACCACATGCGCACACATACCGATCGAACGCACTTGTGAGCCGTGTATGGGCACTTTTAGCCRCAAATATTTTTACTTTCTTTGCGTAATTGCAATAGTTGGCAATGCGATTCTAATGTTACTATAATTTTTTGTGACATCTGGCATCTTTCAGTTCTGGTCGAATTATGTTGACATTTTGTTGCGGCATGCAGAGAACGTATAATATTATAACGTTCTCTGTGACATGCACTGCATCTATTTAGCTTAAGGGAACATTTAATAAAAAAAATTAATTGAAATACAAAGTTTTCAGTAAACAAAAGGGGATAAAATAATACTAAACAAAGACCATGTCCATTGAAATTGAATCTGCTGAGTAAGTGTGRATGATGGCAAATCGTTCCGCCTGTTTTGTATCGACGTATGTATACATATGTTGTAAAATAAATTTTTATTTCAGTGTTATTCGTCTAATACAGCAGTATTTGAAGGAATCCAATTTGTATAAAACTCTACAAACCCTTCAAGAAGAGACTAGTGTTTCATTGAATACGGTGGACAGTGTAGATGGCTTTGTGCAAGATATCGTAAATGGTCACTGGGACACCGTGCTGAAAGTGACACAGTCACTAAAACTACCTGACAAGAAACTCCTAAATCTTTATGAACAAATTGTTCTTGAATTAATAGAGTTGCGAGAATTAGGTGCAGCGCGCTCGTTGCTTCGACAGACAGACCCTATGATTATGCTGAAACAACATGAACCAGAGAGATATATACACTTAGGTATTTATGGAACGGTAGTTATATGTYTTTATATATATTATTAACCATATATTTTTAACTTAATTTGCAGAAAATATGTTGCAACGAGCATATTTCGATCCGAGAGAAGCTTATCCCGAAGGAAGTAGTAAAGAAAAAAGACGAGCCGTAATAGCGCAGGAGCTCAGCGGGGAAGTACATGTAGTACCATCATCCCGTTTATTAGCGCTCCTAGGCCAGGCCTTAAAATGGCAACAACACCAAGGACTACTTCCGCCGGGAACAACAATYGATTTATTCCGCGGTAAAGCTGCAATGAAAGATCAGGAAGAGGAAATGTTTCCTACACAAATGTTTCGYCAAATTAAATTTGGCCAAAAGTCACATGTTGAATGTGCGCAGTTTTCACCTGATGGACAATATCTAATCACGGGAAGCGTTGATGGCTTCTTGGAGGTTTGGAATTTCACGACTGGCAAAATACGTAAAGATCTCAAATACCAAGCACAGGATCAGTTCATGATGATGGAACAAGCGGTATTGGCGTTATCATTTTCAAGGGACTCTGAAATGGTTGCTTCTGGTGCGCAAGATGGACAAATCAAAGTGTGGCGTATTATAACTGGACAATGTTTGCGAAAATTCGAAAAGGCACACACGAAGGGCATCACTTGTTTACAATTTTCACGTGACAACAGTCAAGTGTTGAGTGCTTCCTTTGATTACAGTATACGTTTGCACGGCTTAAAATCTGGCAAAATGCTTAAAGAGTTCAAAGGTGTGTTGGTTTTGAGTGATTACTAGATTTACTTTACTTTACTTATACATTATTATACGCAGGTCACACGTCATTTGTAAATGAGGCAACTTTCACCCCAGATGGACATAACATACTCAGTGCTTCTTCGGATGGTACAGTGAAGATTTGGTCATTAAAAACCACCGAATGTGTGTCTACCTATAAACCGTTGGGCAATGAGCTGGCTGTAAACACCGTACTAATATTACCTAAGAATCCAGAACATTTCATCGTTTGCAATCGATCAAACACTGTGGTTATTATGAACATGCAGGGACAAATTGTTCGTTCATTTTCATCGGGTAAACGCGAAGGCGGTGCCTTCATTTCAGCTACTATTTCACCGCGTGGCGAATTTATTTATTGCGCTGGTGAAGATCAGGTGCTTTACTGCTTCTCGGTTACATCTGGCAAGCTAGAGCGTACATTGAACGTGAGTACTTATTTAGATTGCACCTACTCAAATGTAAATGTGACTAATTGATAAATGTTGAACAGGTTCACGAAAAAGACGTCATTGGTCTTGCTCATCAYCCACACCAAAATTTGTTAGCCACTTACAGTGAAGACGGTCTACTTAAACTATGGAAGCCATAAGCATAGATGTAGTTGTAATTCTAAGATATTCATATAATTGCTATGAAATGAATAAACCAGTAATCAAATAAACTTATGTGTATTGGGTTAAAATTACTGTAACCTGGTCGAYCACATCAACAAAGCAATAATAATTGGTCTCGCTATGATTAGGTAAATTGATTTCAATTAAGCCTTATGCAAATTCCTCTTTATGTCGGTCATTTACTGTATCAATTGAAACACGTAAATATGTATAGCGTTGAAGACGTGCTTCATCAGCTAAAGCTTCTAATCGTTGATCCAAAATTGAGCTAAATCTGCCTCAGTTGTGACTTGTGAATATTACGGCGTAGACGTCGGATTTCAATTGGTGAAACGATGAAGAGCGAGTGTATTATCGACAAGATAAGAAACAAATTGAAGGATTCTAGTCCTGATCGTCGAACCGTCTTAAGTGTATTCCAGTTCAATTTCACCGACGCCGATGGCAAGCTAATTAAAAGTGTGGGTGAGTGTAGACACACAATTACTTGTGCGCTGACTACAATTGTGGCAAGTATTAATTGATGTTGTTATAGTCTTTGATTTTAAAGATTTAAACATCTATGATGGCATAACAGRCGCGGCGGATGCGGAAATCACCATATCCGATGATGACTTTTATTTAGTGGGAACAAAGGAGACAACATTCGACAAACTCGTGTCCGATGTAAGAATAATACTTAAAAAAAATTCTGTTTCTATTGGTTTTAATATCGCAGATTTTAGAATAAAGCGCTGGTCAAGGGAGATATGACGGCCATTGACAAGTTGCTGGGCAAGTTTCGTTCGGCGTCTGATGAGGTGAAGTGATTAAGAAGAGATTTTACTAAAAGCTGCTAAATTATTCAACCATTTCTACTAAATTAAACTTCCTAAAATGGAATTACGATACAAACACATTAATATCCATACTTATATACACTCCATACTTGATTATCTAATTAATATACTAAAACTGTATGACTGCTAGACAGTAATAAAAGTTCATACTTGTAAACATGCAACTAAAATTGTTTCCCAGATAAMTTTGTAGTAATCAGCTGTTACATATGAAATTCTGTTGTATTTGCTTATTACCATCTGAGAAACCATACCTATGGAACATTTATAGTGGGATTTGCATTATACAGTGATGGAAAATATGGAATTTCCAGATTTATGTCACGCACCCCGCAGGCGTCATGTGTCTTACGTGAAATTATGTGTTTTAAAATGGAAAGAAAAATAATTTATATTGTGTTAAAAATTATTTGCGTTTTTCCACATTTTTTTTTCAATGTAGCGCAGTTTGTTTCGGTGCGAGAGGTTTTCCAACTTGGGAACGCGCCATGTATTACTGGTCGTGTGAAAAATATGGAATTTCCAGATTTATGTCACGCACTTCTAGCGACTATCCTTGCGTCCTGTTGATTGTCAACTGTGACTGAATAGGTTTGAACTGAAATTTAAAGGAATTCGTAGAATTAAGCATTCTATAGCWGCGTCACAATCAATCGGGTTCTTACACAATTTCAGTGCATTAAGATTGAGAAACATAATAATGACAGATTCAACTCCAAAGAATTTGGAAATTTTATTAGATAATTCACGGCTTCGTATTCATTGTCGAGCGATTTGTATGAGCGCAAACCTCCCGGAATTTGACTTTGAATACTTCTKTCTAAGTAACTAACATCATTATTTTTGGATATCACGGATCACTGACGCAAGTTGAGAAAAAACTCGTCAATGTTAATTTTGTTCTTGGCGGTGTTTGCGCTGGCTATACTGTATTCTCTGAGTTGAAACACACTCTTTGGCCATTCTCCAAATTAACTGCGAGACGCACATCATCGACCGTATCGTTCAAGACCAATAACCGCTATGTTGCTTCCTTTGGTGACGTACTTACATATTGTGTATTGCAACATTAGAATGAGTTTTGAATGTGAATTAGATATTGATGGTGAATAAAGTACGATCCATGTATTGTCAACTTCGATATTCACTTTTCTATATTTAATGTTGAAAGCTCTGCCATTGTCGTCTGGTGAGCGATGCCGATAGAGTGGATGTCCACCATTTCTATTTTTGTRTTTCTGAAAGAAAAGCGTGGATAGTATTTCGTGAATTTATTTTCAGACCTACAAACCGAAGTGGGATTGTAATGTTTTAGAGGCCCATGAAATCATATTGGTTTTCAGCACTTCGTATAATAATGGATCTTTTTCTGCATTCGCAGAGATGATTTCATCAATTAACCACCATTCACCATGCAAAGAAGAATGTGTGCGTGCGGCAAACCTCTTTTTTGCCACTCAACAGAGTTCATCTCGCATTTAACAGCACCATACATACATAAGTATATACACACGTTGCTTCAAGATAAAGTTCATCAAATATCGTAGTTATTGTTCGAATATCTTACTGTGACATCGTGACGATCATCGGCTGATTGACCGCGATCCATAATTATGCACGTATTTCATCGTATCCTGGGAGTACTCGGTCATGTGCCTTGGGCTGCCAATGTATGTTGACGCCAAAAAGAACGCCAGGCGATATTAGCGCGACCTTTTCGTGGTATCGTAACGAATTTCAGTCTTTGATTGRTCACTTTGTGTGAAACACACATAACGTTTTCACTGAATATATTTTTTTGTTTTTGAGCAGCCGGAATAAAGAAAGCATTCGACAAATTTGAGCGATTCAAATAATTGAAAAACAAAGCAAAAAAATTTAAAAAAAATTTTTTGGTATGAAAAAAGTTACTTTTTGGAATTGCCGAATTTTCCGACTTTTCCTCACAAAAAGCATAACATTTTTCTTAATTTCTGAACCTTTCCCACAGCGAACAACCCCTGAAAATTTCATCAAGATGGGTTCAGCCGTTGCAYTAGCGTTACTAACGAACAAATATTTATTCGTTTGTATGAGAAAAAGAAAAGGGCTGTGTTTAGGGGTTTTACGGCAATTATTCGAATTTTTCTTGCCATAAAAACCATCTTTGAACCTCAGCGAACATTTATGTAGAAAAAAGAATTGGCCAAATTGGTCYAGGCGTTGTTGAGTTATGCGCTTAGCAACATGTTTTGCGATCTATTTTTGTATATACAAAATATATGTATGTATAAAATATACACAAATAGAGCAGCGTATTTGTATTTCAATAAAATTTTATTTCAACCGATTACAATAAGACTTAAATTAGATTGACATAGCTGCTAATACATAACATGAATGCTTAGTTGACAACATTGAGCCATTGGCTGYTGAAACGAATGGTTGTGCATATACATATGTACATATGTATGTATGTAAATACTCTTACTAACAAAATACAATGGGTTAYAAAAATATGTGAACGATGCATACCATAAACTAACCAAATATAACGCATCCTCCAGTTGGTTATTACATATTATATATTTGCGTAGACAAACATTGCATGTATATATAGTATATGATAATAGTAATAATTATAATCATAATAATAGTAATAATATAATAATAATAATAATAATAATAATAATAATAATAATAATAATAATAATAATAGCGTTGTATACATTTGTTTATTGCTGTTTGAATGCGTGCGTGAACGTTCACGTATAAAATATGGGCTCGACCATCATCGATATAATTATCGTTTAATCTGTATAATTCATTTAAATAACTAAGGCAAATGCTTGTTTGTGGGCATGTAAGTATGTGTTTATATTGTTACTGTTAAATTTACTTGTGACTATCATTATAGCTGCTTAAAACCCAATATACACGATGTCTACAGCTTGCATTGCACTTGGCAAATTACTATTTTTCTTATATTTTGGAATTGATAACGAGTACTTTCTGCATTTTCAGTATCTAACTAAAGTATTTTACTTTTATTTTGTATTTATATATTTTGTGTATTAGTGTGTGTGTGGGTGTWWGCAGGCATGTTTCATTTAGTGTATTTTCATTATTGTTGTTGTCGTTGTTTGTATACAGAACACTTAACTAATTGTATAATTGATGCAAATAACGTAAGAAGTAACGTAATAATCGCGAACGCTCTCTCTACACATACAGAGAAATGCAATAATAATTAACAAGACACAAAAGGGTTTCTTTCATCTTTGTTATTTACTTTGATGCTTCAGTTCCCAGCCAACGGTGTTGGRAATGTGTTTTTTTGTGGTTTTGTTTTTATTAACCCTCTGGGCATTTATTGAGTTTTTTTTGTTGTTTTGTATTTGCTTTGAATTAAACACACTAAAAATTACGCGTTCTCTTACACAATCTAATCAATATTTGTTTACGTTTTTGTTTTTGTTTTCTTATTTGTGTTGTTTTTTTCTTTTGTTTGAGTTTAATATGTATGTATGTATGTGTGTATTTSAAACAGTTTTTGCTGTGTTTCAATATTTCATTACAATGCATTAAAATGTTGAGCTCGTTTTCTTTTTTCAACAACATATTTCTGTTTGTCTGTCTGCTCTTTATCTTTTAACCTATCGCATATTTTACTTTTATAATTTTACATTACAATATGCTTGTGTTGTGTTATGTTATGCTTGCATCCATGTTTGTTGCCATATTTTATGTATCGTTTTTATATTTAATGTTAACATTCAATTGTTTACTTTGGGGATTGTGATTCCCTCCCCTACTCTGACATTTCATTTTGCTACTTTCGAAGCTACATATGTTTTAATGCGCTTCCTCATTTCTATTTGATAAACAGTTTTATTTTTAATTTTAATAACCTTTTAGTTAATATTTTTGATTCTCGATCATTTTAATGCTTGTTTTTAAATACCCTTGTTTAGATAATCCGCTGATTTTAGCTTGCATTTTTAGGTTATATTTCACAACGTTTCTGCATAGTGGTGTTAGTGTTGGCTTTCAGATTTGTGCTAATCAAGTTATTCTTCTGTTTTTGAGCAGAGAAATTAACAGTTACATTAAAAAAATTGAATTTTCAAAAAGCAAATAAAAAAAAATAAAAAAAATCCTTGGGCCAAAACCAATTATGCTTTATTTATGTTGTTTCGTCAGCTTTTTCCAACAAGGGCGTGTGTTTTTTATGCAATTCGCAGTGTTACATAATATATGTACGCAAATACTTATTTTATTACATTTAATTAATTTGATTTGCTTTCTTAATTAAATTTTGACGTTTTTAATTTCAATACTTTAACCCTATTTAGCATTAATTTTCTTCGTTAATTTCGCAAACATTTTTAACATCACTTATTTATTGATTTTTTTTGTTGTTGTAAAACGTACGTGCGCTATGAAACCAATACTTTTATCTATTTTTTTAATAAATACTTTTTTCAATAACATTTTTTAGTTTTCAATGTTTCATGCAGTTATGTAGTTGTGTGTGTGTAAGTATGCATGTATGTGTGGAAGTAATTGTGTTTATTAAATTATATGTGCACTTCAGTTGGAAAAGAAGTGATGATTGACGATTTTGACGTAAAAAATAAAAATAATTGTTTTTATTAAAAATCAAGATAAGATTTATTCAAAATAAGATTTTTTTAATTATAGTCAATGAAGAAAGCAAAAATTTTTATAAGCACTTCCTTCAAATGAATGTGCTCCAATCGTTAACTTGCGTTTAAATATGCATGTATATTAATTCGGTATTTTCACTTATCTCTGTGTGTGTGTGTGTAAGTAGTTTGGTTCAAATTCATTTAAAAATTATTTCTCCATACCGCTAATGATCTCATTTTATATTATATCGTTTAGTTTTCATTTAATAAATACATTTGTGTCTAATTAAGCATTTTTCTTTAACATTGCCTCCGTGCATTTTTAATAATTATAACTACAATTCATTTAATTTATTTTCAACTCTTTGCTTCGTTTAATCATGTTTTTACTTCTAGTTTATTTAATTTTTTTTTTTTTTTAATTTACTACCAACATTTAAATTAGTGTTTAACTTTAGTTGCATTCATTAATCTTAATTCTAGACGAAACTGATATTTTTTTAGTTGCTTCTTCATTTTTTGCCTTTCAACACGTTATTTTACATCTTTTTTCACTGCGCGCTGTGCCTGCAGTTCGCGTATGCGAGTACATACGCATGAAAACGAGTACACAATCATTAAAAATCAATGAAAACAAAGATAMAAATATATTTTCCCGCAATTGAGCAAAATGTTTTTTTTTTATAATTGTAATTTTTTTGTAATTAAGCAGTGAAAAATATTGCGAATTGAATTTTATTTATTTTTCAATGTTTTCTGTTTACCGAATGTCCAACTGTGGAACTTCATTAGCATGAAATATAAGTTAAAACAAAAGCCTGTTATAAAACCCGTCGTTTTTTTATACCCTTAACACATGTAAATAAGAAATAATGATTTAAATAATTAATATAAAAAAATGATATAAAAATATTCTCTATTTTAAGATAACCTTATCTTTAACCCTTTTTATATGTATACCCGTTATTTCTCATCTCCGTTACTCAATCTCAATATCAAATTTGCTACAATCCCTTTTTATACGCATTTTCACTATTTTGCTTTCGTTTAATAAATTTTTATCTTTGTTTTACCTAATGCCAGTGTCCAAGGTAAAGATCTCATTATATAATATATATTTTTATATTTAAGTGCCTTTGTATTTTGTTTATTTGTTATTTAATTACTTATTTTGGAAGATGCAGTTTTGATAGTCACTAATTGATTATTATTATTATTCAGTGTAGTCGCACGACGGCTGAGCAGCAACTCGTCTGTTGGTCGTCGGTTTGTTGTCACATTCGTAGTTTTTTATCGTAATAAATACGCAATATTGCCATCAAAAAGGTATTATGTATGAGTGTTTGACGTTTGTTACGCTTCTTTCGTTTGTTTTTATGGCATTTTACTATCAAATTTGTATGTATGTATGTACTTAAATATGTATGCTATTTATTTATTTTGTTTATTTACTCGCAATAACACTCGTACGTATTGTTTTTATTGTATATTTACTAACGTATTGAGCTCATTTTAGAATCATTATTATTGATGTGGCATGCTGCTTCATTCTGCGCGTACGCGTTCTTCGTGTTTGCGTGCAAGTGTCTCGAGCGGCTCGAGGATGGGGGGATGATTGATTTGCTGAGTGTTGAAAAAGATACAGAACGAGTGTAGAAAAGAGATAGAATGCGTGATTTGTTTTGAGTCAATTGTGTGCTGTTTTTTGTCTCAACTTTCTGTTGTTTTTGTTTACTGGTCAATGTGGCTGTGGTCTTACGAATAATAAATGTATAATGCTTCTAAATCGTATCAAATATAAAAATCAACAATATTTTGTTTTTCGCCATGAATTCACTTTGAATGAGATTTACCGTTTTATTTTCGTTTACTATTTTATGCTGTTTCATATATATAACTTATTCTTTAATTATCTCTAATGAGCCTTTTTATGATTTGGTCTTTTTGTTCTTTTTGTTTTTGTTGTTTTTTACTATTAATTATAAATTTATTTCATTTTAGATTTTCCACTCGCTTCAATTTCGCCTTAAGTTCATTACTTTTTACTTTGTTTCACAATAAAAAGCTTTGTCAAAATGCTATCTCGCTTCCTACCCTTCGCAGTACTGTTAACTATTAAATATTAAATTTATGGAAATTATTTTACAACAAGTTGTTTTAGGTGATCTTCCAAATGTCGCGCGGACACAAATATGTATATATTATTTTTATACGAGTTTTTCTTAAGAATAAAAAAGTCAGTAAAATACCGTTAAACCCAATCAAACCCCAATAATTTTTCGCGTCTTACATTCCCTTAATATTTGAAGAGAATATTTGTTCTTACTCACTCTTTCATCCCTTTCATGTTTTCTGACAGTTCCCTTCAGTGCTCACTAACATTGACTTCTCCGAACCATTGGCGTTTTTGAATTTGCTGCATTTTGTTTCTTTCATGTTATTTCATGCAACGTTTTGTTGTTATTTTCTTCAAATTTCATATTAATTCGTGGGAATTAGATTTTATTGATTTATTTTGTTATTAAAAACCTGACTTAATGATGTACTCGTACAGCTATTAATACTAATGTTTTCGCTATTATTCATTAATGCTTATTATTGTAAATTAAATCTGTTCCTATGCTTGTAAATTTCTATAAAATGCCGCATATTGTTGCAACAATGGGATAACGCCTCTACTGCCGCCCAAAACCTTCACCAATTGTTAAACGTTTTCCAAATGATGCATTTGCTCCAAGTGGTTCTCCTCATCGTCGAATCGTACATCGTTAATGAATATCTCGTGCTGCACATTGTCCAGATCGATTTCGTCGTCATCGTCCAGGCCGTCGTCATCGTTTATTAGTATGCCCGCGCTGAGGCCGTCGACGCCTGCAATGCAGATGTGCGGCGGTGGTGGTACGCTTGTGGGTGGCAGGGGCGCTGGTGGTATCATCAATGAACCGCTATTGATGCCATGCAGACTACCCGATATGCTCGCACCGCCTTGCAAATGCCGTCGACTGGAACTCAAACCTGACGAGATTGTGTGAAACAGATTATTAATTATAACAATTAATATGTTTAATAAAATAAGGGAAAAGAGAGTGTTAGCAGAAAATGAAGTAAATAGATTTTAAATGACGAAGAAAAAAAAAAAAATCATCGATGACTCCTTTGTTGTTGATAAAGATACCGTGTGGGTGAAGCGTTATTTTATTGGCACAATCAAAAGACTTTAGACACAAACTTGATGGGTACACATCATACAAAATTTTTAACTTCTAGTACTTTTATTTATCTATTTATTTATATATTGATAGTAAGTTCCCAAATTTTAAATTATGGTTTATAAATACATGTTTTGAATTTCACATGTCGTAGGAGAATTAATAATTAAAAACAGCGGAAAGATAATCAGAGTGACAAGGCCAAATCGAGTTATGTGAYCTCGGAAGATTTCTTCGGGGTGTTACAAGCACTGTGGAAAATTTAATATACCTTATTTTAACCATCCGTCAAATTATTTTAGTTTTTCTTCTTCAAAATTTCAAATACTCATAGCTGGATGGATGAAATCTCAACAGATATTTCAAGTTTTGAACATTACCTGTTAATGTAACAAAATTCATACCCAAGAAAAAGTGTAAATAAGGATGTTCAGATTGACTAAAGTTTTTTAAAAACTGAAAATACAAAAATAACAAAATTAACGATTTCAAATTAAGAAGGAATTCTAGAAAAACGATATTGCAACACGAGCATGCGCCGAACTTACCAGTTGCACTGGTTTGTGAATCGTAATGCGCATTGCGATGCAGGCCCAGTTGGCGCACATGCGCTCTACGTTTTCTTTTGGAGTGACAGAGTGTGCATAGGAGACAGATTAGGAACGAGACGACGATTAGTGTTATTATAATTAGAACGCCGTGATCCTCCTCGGGCGCTTGTGTGGTACCTTTTCGGCGCGGATATCACGCAGAAACACACCAAAACGACGACGTAAATAAAAAACGGTTTCGTTAAAGATTTCGTTGCACGTGATTTTTGTTTACAGAAAAGACAAAGCAAGAAGATTTTAACTTATTAGTGAACTGCCATAAATTGCTATGAAATATTTCTTAATAATAACAATATATATTTGTATTCATGTATAACTCATATTTAGGGCTATTTGTGTTTAAATATATAGTGATAATTACATACATACTTAGATGTGCATGTACTTTCATTTATTTTGCTTTAATAAGTTCTAAAATTAAATTTGTTGATTAGTATTGTATTTAGATAGAGTTTTAATGTTTTACCGATAAAAATGGCAGATGGAAAATGTCATGAATGAAATTTTTTCGAAAATGTTTAACGAATAGATGGAATCATTATGTAAAGAATACGTTGGCAAAAGAGTAATTAAAATTTTTGATGAGGTATGTGCGTGCTGTGCAATTATTTGTGGCTCGAGCATATATACATACATACTTCTTCTCTTACTTGAAACTGAAGGGACGACTATAACCGAATGCATGCGAGTTTTTGTGTCGAAAGTGTTTTGAAATGGCGATTACAAACGTGTGCAAAAACATAGAATAATAAAGTGAAAAACACATACACATTTATTATCTAAAAGATTCGCTACCTTTATCATTCCATTTTGGTTTCAGATCATCTATGTTACCAAGTTATTTTATTAAATTTATAAATATTTTTTTTTTGTTAAATAAAGGCAAAAATACCATCTTATAAAATTGTATCGAAATTTATAAATTTTCTACGCAAATTTTGTCTGTCGTATTTTTCATTGGAAAAACCTTAACAATAAGTTAGCTTGCAGTTTTGTTAAAGATGTGTTCAGGAGATTTACTTTATGACGATCGCAACTATTTGAGTAGCAGAAAGTTGAAGTTATCGAAAACTTCCCGAATGGAAGATTTTCATTTACTTCAATTAATCCTTCCTGCTAAAAATGTAAGAGAAGATCTTGGATGAGCACATTATGGCCACCGCGCCTCTTGAAGTTTGTCCACGCAGCATGCATAAAGATCAGTAGAGACTGCACTCCATACACTGGTATTTAATATTGAAAGGGCTCTTGAACATAAGGATTATGCTCTTGGAGCATACCAGGACATTTCCGGAGTATTCAATAACGTCCCTCCGGAGTCTATTCTGATAGTATTCAGTCAATAGGTGTTGATTCCGCTGGATCAGAAGCATTTTGATCCCTTGACAGACAAGAGCAGAATGGAACGACGCTAAAATGACTACGGAAGCCTGTAGAGGTCCTCTCCGTGAGTATAGTGGCATAGCCGACGACATTGCAATCTTAATATCGGGTAGGTGTCTACAGGCCATTAGCAGTAATATGACTACTACTCTCAGTGCAGTCCAGAACTGGGCATCGCAATCGGGGTCGATAGAAGAGACTGTATGAAAATGATCGGTATACTAATTGGCCACTGTCTGGTGACGGCACACGCCCGCAAAATGGGGCTGACAGATTGAGAAGAGCATCTCTTGTGCATTTGCCCCGCATTGACACGACTACGCTGTAAGCCTGGGTCCCCACGATAACAATAGTGAGGACGCAGAGTCTATTAAAATTGACGATAAGCGCAGGAATCTTAAAGGACCTAGGAACTGAACTCCATCTAAACTGGTCTAAACTGTTTACCAGTTTAAACTAACCTAATCGTTGGCATGTGTGCATTCCCCAAAAGGAACCTACTTTGGTTTTTTTGTCAGTCTGGGTTTGATTTGATAAGATGGTAACTGAAGTATTGATTCAATTAATTTAAATGGTGTGACTAAGTACATATCAACAGAAAATGAATTTTTTGGTATTCATAGCCAATAAAATAAGAATTAATATGCWGCTTATGTATTTTTAGGAACTTTTAATTAAATAATGTATAAATAAACACCAAAAGACCATTGGAATAAAGTTTTTCTTTTATTTAAGTATTACTTCCTTCTTAAAACGTATACCCTATAACCCTATTATCATATTATTTATCCACCAAAAAATATTTAAAATAAAATTAACATAAACGGTGCTGAAGTCATAGAAAGTCGCCTATAAACCTACGAGTTAAAATAAAAACAAAGTTTTCTTGAATAAATTTCGAGTACGTAAAAAATTGTCGGCCATTTGAAGCATGTTTTACGGGAATGTTCGAAAATTACTTCAACAGAGAAAACAACAATTAGTAAGGCAACTTAAACAGTATGGTATTACTATTCTAAAACAATTAGGGCCGTTTTCACAATGTCACAATTCGTCAGTTAAGTTCTGGTAAACTCAACCAAGACTTCTTCTTTCGGTAAAGAAGCTTTTTTTACTAAAACTTAACTGATAGATGGCTGCTAACCAGACATTGAGAAAACGAGTCCTAATTGTTTATGCAATTCTAAGTTTGTTTTATTTAAGCTTTTATGGCGCCATATTACGCACAATTACTAAGCGTTGCATAATGTGAGAGGAGCGAGTATGATTTTAAAGATTCTTCAATGTTTGTGTGGATGCACGAGTTTACGATGAGTGAGGGCTGTATGCGTGGTATGGGTTGTATGGGGTGGTCTACAGAGTGCCATTTACTAGCGAGTACTAACGAGTTTATGTCAACATGTTTGTATGTACATAGAGTGTATGTATATGAATAATATTCATAGTATTCGTTACAGAAATTAGTGTGTAAGCATGTTATAAAACTATGTAGCAAAAAGAGTTAAGAGTAAAGATTTGTTGTATAGTTGTTAGTATTTGAAAAGACTCACGTGTTTCTGAATCAAAGATGACTTATTTGTATGCGAAAAATGTTTTAGTTTAGATTTTTGTAATTGCAACAATTTCAAACGGTAAACTTAAAGTGGCTTTGGGCGCGCCTTATCAACCGTAAGTGTAGTTTTTAAAGGATCATGTTTCGCTTGAGTTGATTTAGCAATTTCAACAAGTTCAAAAAATACTTGCGAATCGACAATTTATACTTTATTTATTTTTTGTTGTTAAGAACAATGCAAGTAATCGTATACTTTAGATTTTATTTTATTTCTTTAAAGTTTTTGATGTGACACTTAAAAGTGGGCATTTAAAATTGTAAGAATCGCGCCACGCCAATTGCTAAACCAATGAGTTGTATTAATGATGGCACCAGTGGTGTATTTCCGTCGCCTGGGCGTATAAGTATGCGGAAGGCGTTAAAGAGAGAAAGAAAAGTTAATAAAAAAGAGGAAGAGGAAGAAGCAAGTAGCACACAACAAACAATTGCAAATATTTTTTATTTTGGTTGAATTTGAAAATTGAAATAGAAAGACACAAAGATGAGAATGAAAAGGAATTATGCAACGGATGAGTTTGTAGAAGACCAGCATGAGCAAGTAGAAGAGAAAATGGGGAAAAAGAATAGAAACAATGGTTTTGTGAATAAATCGAGAATATCGACGAAAGATTTATTTGGAGTGATAAAATTGGATTAAATTTATTATGAGTTTTCACAACACACATACATACTCGTAAATAAGTATATGTGAGTTAGCAAGGAAGACAAATTTAAACAAAGCACTACGCTTTACAACCTTAGATGATGGTTTTCTCAACTGCTATCAGTAATTCATTCATTTTAATTTCGCACTCAAGCATTCTTCTTCTTCATTCAATAGCTTCGCAAAGTACTAGATATAGCAGTCCCTGTGCGCCCTTTGATCAGCCTAACCGAACTTAACCTCAGTAATTCACATTTAAAGAAGTTTATCTAACATGAGATGGAATTTGTATTGCCAACGGTACGGCTATTCCACCTTACTTATATCTATCATTAAGAAATTAACTTTAAGATCGATTATGTGAGGTAAGCGCCATTCTTTCTATTCTTTATAAAAAATATTCCTAAAACATTCATATATGTACATATTAGGTTGCCCAAAAAGTCTTGCGGTATTTTCGCTAGTTGGCGCTGAAAGCGCGTAGTTCCAGCTTTATTCGTCGCATCGGGTCAGCTATACCTTTTTGGAAAGCTCATTTCACGCGCTAACGTTGATTGTCGTTTCTTTTAAGTCGTTCGTTAGTTATAGCGTCGCAAACACTATAAATAAGGAAAATACGGTATATTTTACAGTACTACTACGATAAAGGCAAAAATGCATCTCAAGCCGCCAATAAAATTTGCGCAGTTTATGGACCCCATACAGTTTTCATTTCCACCGCACAACCATGGTTTCAACGTTTTCGTTCTGGTGTAGAGGTGGTCGAAGATGCGCCACGCTCCGGAAGGCCTGTCGTCGAAAATTGCGATAAAATCGCTGAATTGGTCGAAAGAGAYCGACATAGTAGCAGCTGTAGCATCGGTCAAGAGCTGGGCATGAGTCTTCAAGACAAATTTTATGAACAACTGAAAATTCAATAAAAATACCGCAAAAATACCGCTAGACTTTTTTTGACAACCTAATATTTATATTAAAGTGACGTTAAGCAACTACACAATGACGTATATCACTTGGAGTTAAATTACTGGTGTTTTCTGTGGAGTAACCGGGCTCCGTAGAGTTTTTTTTTTAAACATTAGCTAAAAAGGTGCTCGAAGTAAATTGGTTCCGGAAACATCCTATACTAATTTCTTGTTTATAGAAGACTTCACGAATTTCATTAAAGATTTTAAGTTGACTAGAAGTAAATTTTCAAACAGCTAAACTTTAGAAAGTAACGAATCGAACATGCGCAATAACGTTGTGCTTCTTTTTTGTTTTGCGGAGCTATAAAAAAGTAGTTTAAGTTACAATTTTTTTACTCCTATTTCTCGTTCAAGCCATTCGCAGTAGGAAAACTCAACTAAAAGCCTAAGATTTATAATAGTAGGACTGATATCTGTCCTTAGGTATATTTATGTACATGGACAAGTTATGAAATATACAGAATTGATAACGTAATCTCGTGAAAAATGCTTCAAACAATTTGATAATGGTGCAGTGCGAATATGTAAGTTCAGTGTACAAAGATTTGTTTAGACCCAAGAGGCAAACTAAATACAAAAAGGACATGCGGCATTTCTTTCATTTTTAATTTTTCTCCAAACAAGTTTCTTTCAAGCATTAAGCATTTATGGCACTTTTAGGTTATGTGATCGGCCTCAAATGCGATTTTTGGTCCATCGACATTGCTGTTGTTAAATTAATGACTTGTAATGTCTCTTTTTGTATCTAGCATGCGATAAATATTTATTTGTCTTTTTATTATGAACCATTTTAATGATCTTCATTGTTTATGTGGGTGTTTATATTTAAATGAACTATTTAAGTGGTTTACGTTTATTGTTGATGGACAATTCATTAACATCTGTCTAGACTATAAGTAATATATTGTAAGTAATATTTATAGATTAGGATTTAATATTGTTATTTATAAGGCAGAAAACTATTTTAGCATATTTAAATTGTGTCGTCAGGTTCAAGTTTGCTTGTGAAAATTTTTAATAAATAGAAACTTAGCAAAAAGTAAAGTAAAATTATAAAGTTAATAAAAAAAGATGTAATTTAAAAGAGTAACAGAAGGCAAGTAGAAAATTGGTTGGAAGTTTATGCCAAAGATGTGACTTTAGTATAGTTCGATTTATTGACCAATAAAATATATACATACATATGTGTTATAATAGTTATAAGTATTGGATTTTATTTAGTTAGAATTTCGTTTGATTTCTTATGCATTCGAAAAATGTGGTATATGTATGTAACAGTATACGTTTGGTTATGAAAACAGTTACATTTCGGGTATGTGAAAACTAATTGAAAGGACTTTATTAAATTACTTTTGCAAATGTATGTTAAGAATTGAGTTTTGAAAGTATACTATTTAAAATATTTAATTTTCATAAATTTTTTTTATTAGTAATTTTAATAGTAAAAATGTATATGAAATTAGTCGTATTTCGAAATGAATATATTTGAACAAAATCCATTARTTTCCATCTGTCTTGTTAAGTACCGAATCATTGGTAGGAAATCAACTGAAATTGTAAACTTAAGAAGAAGAAAACTTAAAATTAAATAAAAGTAAATAAGAAAAAAAATGAACTGAACCGTTCGACTCACTCACGACTCACAGTGCAATTCGTCACTATCATCACCGGGACCACAGTTCTTGACGCCATCGCAACGTAGCTTATCGGAAATGCAGTAGCCCACGTCGCATTGGAAGTGGTATGTTGATTCACAGAGCAGTCCAATGGACGGGGGTCCAGGACCAGAGTCTTGTATTTCAGTCCATACAATACGGAAGCCCTGCAAAACATGGAAGGAAAATAATTATTTACGTATCTACTACATTTTAAGGCCATCAGTCAACAGTTAATAATGTTTGAGTAATGTTAAGTCATTAAAATGGCTAACGAAGATAAAAAGACAAACTGTAAGATCGGTGGATAAAGGCGAATTCCTTTATTCAAATTTACTTACCGGAGCACCAACGGTTTTGTCGCTGGTTGTGAAACTGATACGAGCAGTTTGTCCAGTGGAAATATAATACCACTGTTCAATTAGTGGCTTTTCGCCACACAATTCCAATGGCGGTTGGTCTGAATCGACATTGACCCAAAGTCGCAAAACAGCAGCAGGACAGCCACGATCTGTTTTCAATGATAGTAAATACGAAACATATTTACTATAGCAGCAAATAAATTTAGAACAGCGCACTGGATACTCACTTGCTGGATCGCCTTCGATGGAGAAGTGCTCAAAGTTAATTGATAACTTATAACCCGGCCGTGCCGTCATTATCCAATTGCATGCCATTGAAGCCATGCCACGACTGGGTGCCTTATAGCCCGCTGGGTAGTTGGGAGAGGTGATAATACCCGAGTCCTGACCTGAGAAGTTGCCACCGCATTCGGCCACATCGGAGCGCGGAGATTCGAAAAAGTAGCGCGCTTTGAAGCCGCTAGCCACGTTCTCTTGATCCGTATGCAATGTGATACGCAGACCCACCGCACCCCTTGGGCTCTCAACGGGGCCGGGTGCTGTCAAACCACAGTAGCGACCAAGAAAACGATCGTTGTTATCACGATAAACAACATACATTTCCAGCCAATCTTCAAAGCAAGCGCTAGAACTGCGTACACATAGAATGTATAATAATATTACAGAAAATTAGTTTGGAGCCTTGAAATTAAAATAAATTAAATAAAACGCCATCCTTTACCCATATGCTCCAGCCGTTGCATTTGAGTTACCATCCGCTTTTATCTTGAAATGATCAAAGACGATCGTGACCTGCTCATTCGGTTCACCTAGAAACAGATACGAACAATTCGTGTCCGATGGGTAGTTGGATGGATAGCGAGGACTGTTCAGTTCGCCACGTTTCTTTGAACTGCTTACATATGTGAAGCTGCACGTGCCATCGGGTGCGGCTGTGCCAGGTATTTTATATTCAGTTTCAAAGGTGTATTTACCCTTGAAACCGCGACCCTGTAGTTCACCCGAACTGAAGACCATTGCCAAGCGTGGTCCATCGCTAAGCACTCGCTGCGTTTCATTGCCACATAACTCATAGTCAAATTTGTCATAGGCATCTGCTGTTTCCTGTCCCTTCAGATAGATTTTAAGATAACCGTCTGTGCAATTGGACCTATGCAAATAAAAAAGGATTTACTGCTAAGTATTGTGCGCTGAAATAAGTTTAGCTGTTTTAATTACTTACTCGCTTTTGTCCTTGTGCTCTACCTTGGGTATATTGAAAGCGGAAAACTCCAGACGAACACGTTCGAGATGCTGCGCATCTTGCATGCCGTAAATGAAGTATCTTGTGGAAGTTTTCGAAACAAATTTAATTTTATTTAGCTTTTAATCAAGTTCGAAATTTTTAAATATAACTGTTAGAAAGTATAGTTTATTTTTTTAACAGAACTTGAATGATATTAGGCAGTATAATCTCAACAGCTTGCGATAATATAAATACTTTTAGTTATACAACAATAGTCGTTCATTGGTACTTACCTACACACAGTTTTCGGTATATATGGATAGGGATAATTTGGTGAGAGCACAAAACCCGTTGATTCCTTCCTCGATAATATCTTTTGATCACATTCCGAGCCACGTATGTGAATGCCATCATTTTCGCCTAATTTTTCATAATTTTGTTTGCAGTAAGTAGTTTCATTATACACGCCGGTTAAATATTTTTGTCGAGCGAAGCATTGTTGTTGCATTTCAGTGTAGTTATTAAGTGAGCAGAGGTGATTAGGGGAATTTGGGAAACAAAGTGGCATAGTAATGAGTTATTAGGCATGTAGTTGAGTTCCAATAAATTGTTGTAAAATTTTTATATTAATTTAATATGTTGGAGATTTCTAATTAAAGTTAATATAGGTAGTTTTAATAATAGGCTTTTTGTGGATACTAAAATGCACCAAAAATCAACGCTGCTTGCGTATGATCTACAATCACATACAGTCAGCTGAAAATGTGCTCGTACCGAAGTACTCTGGTTAGTCTAAAGTTGTGTGGAGCTGCAGTAACTCGAGAGAAAGCAGATTATTTGTATGAAATTTTCTATTTGAATGGTTTTCAAGTTACTGCAGCTTATTTTGGAATGCATTGCATCTGCATCCAAGTTCATAATTGAGCTGGGAATATGGAAATTTACTTTTAATTCTACTTTCCTGAGATTTGACATATAAAATGGCATATTTTGGTATTGACCAAAGGATGGTCTTTACAATTTCARTTCCAAGGACTGTAAAGGACGGAAATACCTTCCGAAAAACGCTAATTTTGATTTTTAATATGTGATTTTACATTTCAAAAACTAAAAAATATAACGCTCTTTTATCTGTTGGAAAMTCCTAACTATATTATAATTATAAAACTTAAATCAGCATTTGCAGATTGTTTGATCATTCCATATTGGTCTATTAAGTCTATACTTCTACATGAAGCGCTATTATCATTACACAACAAAAGACAACTAAATTGTGACTAATTATCTATTTGTGTCTTAATTCAATTCCACAATTGATACATATACAATCCTTCTTCAAAACAACCCTATTTGAATCCCTTAAGGATTCACAATCTTATCAACAAACCAAAAGTGTTGCAAGTTTAGGTGCGTTTACAGTTTAACGAACATCAATGGTTACGAATTACGAATTACTTACGTATAAAATCTAATTTAACAAAACTTTCGCTAAATTCATAAATTCCTTTAAAGCCACGATTTTGGGTATTCGCTGTTCTCGGCAATGTATAAAAATGAACAAAAAGGCTCGATTCGCTTGAGTATAAAACTAAATTCCTTTGCTGTCCGCAATATGTACCAATTAATGCTGACGAATTATCGGGACCATCATACACTTTGACATAGTCAAATGGGCAGCTGTTAAGTAGACAGACAGTTTTCAATTAGCATTACCCAATTCAGTGCACAAACATGCTACATCTCTACAATAAGCTTTGTTGGAGCGCTAATGCAGTGTATGCATGTTTGTAACTAAATTAGTTTGTCCAGCATTCAGAGGTACTCACTGTGGTCCACCAAAAAATAGATCAAAATCTCGAAATTCTAATCTAACCCTTTGATTCGATTCGCCGAGGAATTGATATGTGCATGACATATCTTTTGGATAGGCACCCGGATAAGTTGGCGATATGAGTGCCCCAGTTTTATTGATACTCATGCTAGGCGTAATGGTGTAGGAACATGGTGAACCCGCTATTGGTATCCCAATTTCATATTCAGCTGAGAGAACGAACAATTTCATTACATTTCATTAAACAGCTTTAATAGTATTCAGTATGCACAGCTATTATATGTATATGCAGTTTGTTACATTTTAACCGAAAGTACTTACATGCATTTATAAATCTATAAGTTCCTTCGAATAAGTCGGGTGTTGATACATTTTTGTTGGTAAAAAATGAGATGGCTATAGCTCGGTACATGGAGATACGTCTTCGTGGCGGTATTGTACCGCAATATCGTCCACCAAACGGAGAATTTATTAGTTCAGCTGGATCTGACGACTGCACTTCGGAATATATATCCATGTACTCGTGAACACAGCTAAAAGATGAAAAAAGGTACTTGTCTAGTAACAAACGAAATTTAAAAATTTTTTAACTGAAAAATAATTATAGAATAATTATTTCTATGGCTCATAGTATGTTCTATGGGAACATTCAGGTATCATGTTTGATTGATACATGTATGTATATCTCTTTAAGTATGATTAGAAAATTTTCACTGGGAAATTTAAGTGACAAAATATTACATATTTTATCTCCTGCTCATAAAACGAAGTGGAGAAAAGAAGAAATAACGGATATTAAAATTTCGAGAGATAATCATGTGAGCGCGATATCATTCTATTCCATTCTTCCTCTCTCTTAGTCAGACACGTTTCAGAAGCACGGAACACATTTAGTACTAAAACAAACATCTAAGATATATTATCCCATCTCTCCAAAAGAACACTCTGTATTCCTCGTAAAGAAAATAAAAGCCATTTCGTAGAGGGAATAACTGAGAAAAAACTTGGGATTGAAAATGAAAGGAATGCACTTGCATCTTCGTCTTYGATTCACCAAGCGTTGGAGAGAAGCAAATAAACAAACTATACAGATGTCCAAACAGAAGGTTTTCTGATGCATGACCAAATTTTTAATAACTCTTTAATTTTTATTCTATGATTAATTACTATTTATTTAACTCTTAAGTTAAAAATCGTTTTTTTACGAGCAGTGGCTATTCGAAGATAGCTTATATTATATACAAAATATAATAATAGCTTTTTAACATTTCAATAAAGAAAACGTCAATAATTTATACTTACGCTGGTAATTCACCGACGGCAGAACCGCTGAAAGTAAAAAGGAAATAATAATAAAAAGTTAATTTGCAAGTAATTAAATCTGAATAATCCAAACGAAATTCGCCCGAATTCTTCCATTTCAATATTCTCGGGTTTGCAAATTTGCGGCAAGTAATTACGTTCTTATTTTTGCATTCCTTCATTACTTACTCTGGTGGACTTCCTCTTAAATTAAACGATGTAAAAAGTACTTCGACGCGTTGCCCGGGTCCTGCTAGGAAAGTGTACAAGCACTGACGCGAATGGTTCTTGTGATTGTGCAGCAACGGCGCGGTGAATGTGCCATTCTGTGGGCCGCTAATACGTGAAACGAATGTCTGGTCGCATTCTGTGGCGAGAAAAATGCACAAATGCAAAAGTGAAATGTAAATCCAACGGTAATCAATGGAATGGAAAAAATATTATGCACATGTATTGTATGGGAAATGGAGGAATGGAAAATTGGAAACGTGTTAATCAAAATCAAGAATTTTTACGCTCACTTGTGTAGATTTTAGTTTTTAATGAAGATAAAATGCAACAAAGTAATCACAGCTCTGACATATATAAGCATATATACTATACATATATATACACGTATAAATATGTTAAAGTGTCTTTGTGTAATTACATAGACAGACACCTCTTTCTTAAGAAAAGTGTTACGTAACTGAACAACCTAAGCCGCAACAAACAACACTCAGCAATAAAACGAATGACAAGAATAGCAACTCAGAGCAGCAGCTTCGTATGTATGTATGTATGTGTAAGTATTAGAGGGGTCTGTTGTTTCCTTACAGTAACGGCAAGTATGTGTTTATAAAAACATAAAGGTGTTGTTATCTGTGTGAGTGTGGTGTTTAGTATGGTGGAGTAGCCATTTGTTTCCATTTATCTTTGTATTTGCATTTTCAATTGAGTTGGCATAAGATATCATGAAATTGGAATCGTAAATCAGTATTTGTAGCACCAGAAGCACTCTATGCGCATGCACTTTTCGATTCGAATCAACATAAAGTTAAGACTGCACATACAATACATGTGCATAAACACCAATCTGCAACTGCATGTATTCATATACATATACATATACGTAGTATGCTACATAGGAAACATGAAACTCATTGGAAATTCATTGCAATCCATTAATAATCGATACTTGAAAGGAACGAAAGAAACRCTTAGAAATACAACTGTAAAGAAACACAACCTACTTGGCGGTTTCGTTGGTCTCGGCAGAGTTTCCAAGTAAGCCACAACGGGTATCCAAGGATGCGCCGCTGGATTTGGACCGCCGCTGGCTCTTAATTCAGAAGCAGCAACTGCCGGGATAGACAAAAAGCAAATACAAATATACGTTCATACTTATGCAGGAGTATAGACACATATAAAGAAATTGTAAAATGCTGAGTATTCGTAAAAGGTAGTGAATCAGTGAAGATTTTAGCGAATATTTGCTAAGAATCTGTAGGGGTGTTCAAAACAAAAAGTCTTGTGTTTATAAGTATTTGCGGTGTTTCTGAAAATCTTTCATTATTTCATTATTTTCCGTTAGTGAAGAACATGATATATAGTATGTATGTATACAAAAATTGTTTTGGTGTCATTGTTTGAGTTCAAATAGCGTACGATTGATTTCAAAAGTAAAATTTTTTCGTTTTCATCTAAGTATGTACATAAAGCTGGTGAAAGTTTGATTAATARTTTTTTATACTGCTTGCTTGCTATTTTTGTGTATATATCGAATATAAATATTATCGTAAAGTTTAAAAAATTAAAATATATTGGTGAAGCTTGGTACACAAGTTCTTTGCCAAAAAAGTGAGAAGAAGTTTGCGTGATTGAACCTCTGTTACGCTCACAAATCGTCATTCATTCCTTAACTTTCCAGTATACAAATCAAGAGCCAATCAATGTATCCAAAAGATAGATATAGAACTACTGAAATTTACGAGGACATCAACCAGCTGGCCTTTTTTTTCAATTAAGGGACCAGACATTCCGGGTCCGTAATTCTTAATGCGTTTACAGTTGTCATCATCAAAAGGGGGTCTCTAATGCGAAGCTGTTTTCTTCTTTTCATTGAGTGTGTTTTTGGATAAGGATGTTTTGCCCTCTCACTTTAGCTCGCCAACTAAAAGAAGTTTTTTTGGCTACCTAGAGGATATTTGGTCTAAGGCCGGAAATTGTGAGCTGCTTGAGTCATATGTCAAATAATCGTTTCTGGCCACTCCCAAGTGATTGGCAATAGGAGTACTTTCCTTACTTGCGTGAACTCCTTTACATGGCCTCAGTATCGACAGTCGTCGCACTCGCGACTTAGCTCCCATGTTAAGGTTGACAATCATAACTTTCGAGTCGTAGATAATTTCTTTTTTCTTGGAACCAGCATTTACACCCACAACAGCGTCAGTCTCGAAATCCCACACAGAATATCTTTTGCCAACAGGTGCTACTTCAGATTGAGGCGGMAATTGAGAAGTTAAGTGCTCTCTGGACGAACAAAGACCAAACTCTACAAGTCACTCATCATCCCCGTCTTGCCATATGGACGATGACAACAGAAGATTTATGCTCCTTTGTGTATTGGCAACAGCGACGAATACYTTAATCGATGGAACGATGAGCCGTACGAGTTATACGACGACATTGACATAGTACAGCGAATTAAGACACAGTGGCTAAGTTGGCTAGGTCGTGTCGTCTGAATGATTGAACACACTCCAGTTCTGATAGTATTTCACACAGTACCCGTTGAAAGAACAGAGGAAAAGGAAGACCTATTCTCCSTTGGAAAGACCACATGAAGAAGGACCTGGCTACACTTGGAATGTCCAATTGGCGCCAAACAGCGAAAAGGAAGAACGACTGGCGCCGTTTTGTAAACTCAGCCATAAGAATACTACTTAATTTTGAAAAGAGTTTTTCCCGGATTTGAGCTATGCTTAACTTAACCCTTCCTTACTTATTTATATTGATTTAAATTTTTAAGCCATTCTGAAGTGTAAATTTTTCGCCTTTCTTCGATCTATGATAATTTTAAGCAGAAAAAGCTTCCTCTGCGCCAGACACTTTGTTTTGAAGTATCCAAAAGATCGTCTACGGGATCAAGATAATAAAATTTTCTTAAATTCTGCAAATGTGCATTATTGTGTGTTAAAAACTCAATAATACTCTTTTTATTGTCTCTGGTTTTCTCTGGATATAACCACTTAATATGCCTAATACCTAAACCACAGAAAGTAATCGGCTATGTATATTCTAATTTTGTCAAAGGCACGAAAATAGTGCTTTCACATATCTATACAAAAAAGTCGCAAGTAAAAATATTCCATATTCACTTCATTTCATAGTGCACACTCATTGCATGCTGCCATACATTTTGGATTTTCTTGCGTTGTTATATGCATGTAAATATGCAATCAACCTTATTTCGTGTACATCCAAATTTGAATGCGAACTTCTATTCCACTGATTGCAATAAATCGAATTACAGTGTGCAAATGCACTGGAAATCATATCGAATAAAATCATATGCAAAAATAAATAAAATTTTAATACATTTGTATATGAAAAGCGCTGGCACATATCGGAAAATATTTATTCCCGAAGATGGGCATCAAAGTACCACATATGCGTGTGACAGGGGAACTGATATAGAAAGAAGATGGTTGCGTGAATTCAGTTTAAACTGGGTGAAATGTATACAAATACAAATAAAAAAAACTTGTTTTAATGTTTTTAAAGTTTTGTAGTAAATAAATGTGAAGAATCTTTCAACCTGCATGAGAAATTTCCTCTACAATATTTATAATATTACATACTTCTTCTATATATGTAGTTATGTATATTAAACCTTTATAGGCTGTTCCAGTTGGATGACAATTAACCAAATATGCTCTTTATTAGTTACAACTCCCACTACCTTCATACCRCCGTTACATGTATAATTTTATCACATAGGGAGTGTCAAGCTCAGCTGGCTACGTTCAGTTTCTTACCCTTCTTCTTCGGTTTAATTGATTTCTAAAATGAAAACGGTGTAACCGCTGTGCTAAAAGCAAAAGTTGCCTGTGCTAAAAGCAAAACCTGCCAGAAAAAATGTGTCAAAATGATTAATCACACTCTTGCGATGGGCGCCACATCTGTTGAAATGGGTTGAGAAGGCTTMAAGCAGATTTAATTTGTTTTATTAGGTAAACCGTCGAAGAGGTTTTGATATTTATTGATGAGCTCTTTAATTTCTACTAAGCACTTCTTCCATGATTGTGCTCAACAATATTTGGTTACCGGAGTGAGCCAGAGGAGGTATTTTGAAATAAATACTTGTGTACCGTAGTGTCTTTTCAGATGAGCTTGTACAAAGTGGGAATTAAATCGTCTTCGGATTTCAATAACATGATTGCACTTTATTAGTTTCAATAGATAATATATCATAAACTACTAAAGCTGTGGCAATAAAATTCAGAGTGGATTAATTGGAACCTCCATTACCATATATTGCTTATGAYCTAAGCTGACTGATCTAAAGACAATACATAGTCTTCAGAGATGCGAGTTGTACCTTCGTAATATTGGTATATATTTACTACTGTAAGAAGCGACATAAGCACCTCGTTTATGTGGCGAAAGTAAAATACCTTGGTGGCAAAATRTGCTTTCGGCAAATTGCTGATTGCATAGTTCAACAACAGTTAATCCATAAATTAGGAAACTTTGCTTATTAGAATTTTCATCATGCACAATTTGAAACTTTTGCCGGAGGATTTTCACACACGAATACACAAAAATGTCCGAATTTTAAGTGCGTCACACATTCACTCATTCCGAACGCACGAGCTTTTCTGCATGCATTCACCTCCTCTTTCTGTGTTAAGGGCTATTTGCCACGTTAATGGCCATACATTTTATACAGCCTTTCATTGTTGTAATTTTTTCAATCACAGTTGYGCATTGAACACACGGACAACATATCCACACTCCCAGGACATGGAAACTTTTCCACAATTACCAGAAATTTGCGGCGTTCCAGTTACTTTCATACTTGGTTTGAAATTAACAACGTCGACACGTTTTCATAAAAACTATGGCGATATACATAAAGTTTATCCACCGAATAAAAATTATTGGCAATCGTTTATTTTTATGAGTATTTATGCATTTATATTTGCAGATTGGTCATGAATGGAGCTGCCATCATGAGGAGCATGGCTCTTCACAAACTAAAACTTTTAGAAGCAAAAATTAATGCGATCTTCTAAAAAAATAGAATAATAATATTTCTAATAAATATTTAACTAAAATTAATACTAAATTTGATATTATTAGTTTAAAAAAAAATATCGAATTCTTCGAAGAATTCTGTCGGCAAATTTCATCGGAAAATGGTACAAAAACGCCACAATTTTTCAGGATTGTGTGGTGTCATCATAAAGGAGGGTATCTGATTTAATTAGGAGAAAAAATGCGGAATCATAAAAATATTACTGTCTTGAGTAACTGCTTATCGAGGCGAATTTACTAATTATATTCAATTTAGAACTTATTTTCCCACACATGAAATTATTTGTACTTTTTTGAGTATCATAATCGATGTCATGAAACGATCGCAAGTGGAATCATCACTTACTTAGTTTCGCTTCTTTAAAAGTTCTGATGTGTTAAATTATTAATTCATTAAAAATACCTTTGAAAACTGGCGACGTTTAATGATGAAAATTTTAGTATTTTGAAAAACACAAAAAAAGGAATTTTTATTAATGATGGAAAAAAGCAATGCTGATCCAAAAAATTGGTCTGATGGGAATTGTTTGAGCTCTGTACCAAACGAAGCAACATTTAATAAAAATAAATTCTTCGGAACCGCAATATCTTTATTTCTCACCAGAGGGAGTGTTCGGTGGTTCTATGAACCAACTGTATTGGGTTGGTGAATAATATGTATATGTGAGTAATCTTAGAATTTTCTTTTATRAAACTTGAGTAAATCTCATTAGAAACCTAAGTCATGACTTTCATCTTGAAGTGCATCACRAAAGTAATTTTCGCGGTTTTATTTGTTTTCCCCTTAAGAACTTCCTTCATTGAAGAAATAGTTTCGTTTGTGTATATAATATGTCTGTGTATGTATATATTGAATGTTAAAAATTTTGCTTATATTTACATTGCTATTTTACGTTTGTTGCATTAAATTTTCATTAAATACTGTTTATTATTTACCGATTTTTTCGCTTGTGTATTAATTAAATAATTTAACTTACGATTTGTTAACGACAATTCGTTTTTCATACCTGCAATGAAAAGAGAACCATCCAAAATATTA